ATCAATGTCCTGTTACAAGAGCCAGCAGTAAAAGATCAGTGTCCTGTTACAACAGCCAGCAGTAAAAGATCAGTGTCCTGTTACAACAGCCAGCAGTAAAAGATCAGTGTCCTGTTACAACAGCCAGCAGTATAAGATCAGTCTCCTTTTACAACAGCCAGCAGTATAAGATCAATGTCCTGTTACAAGAGCCAGCAGTAAAAGATCAGTGTCCTGTTACAACAGCCAGCAGTAAAAGATCAGTGTCCTGTTACAACAGCCAGCAGTATATGATCAGTGTCCTGTTACAGCAGCCAGCAGTATAAGATCAGTATCCTGTTACAGCAGCCAGCAGTATAAGATCAGTGTCCTGTTACAACAGCCAGCAGTATAAGATCAGTATCCTGTTACAGCAGCCAGCAGTATAAGATCAGTGTATCCAGTTGTCACCAGTATAATAACAGTGTTTCCTATTATAGCAGTGTCATAAGTATTAAAACAAAGAGCCCAGTTACAGAAGTATAGGATCAGTGTGTCCTATTATAGTAGCCACCAATATATGATAAGCATGTCATTTTCCATCACAGCCAGTATGAAATCAGCATGTCCTGTTAAAAAAGTAAAACCTATACACGATCAGGTTGTCCTGTTGTAGCTGCTTCCAGTGTAAAACCAGCCTGTCCTGTTACATCAGCCACCAGTGTAAAACCAGCCTGTCCTGTTAAAACAATGTCACTCGTATGAGATCAGTGTGTCATGTTACACCAAAGTCAACAATATAATATGAGCATGTCTGGTCACAATAGTCACTGCCGAGTTACATGTCCCAGTAGAATCCTAGAGTGTGACATTCTATAAATCTGACCACCCCACTATCGGTAGTATCCAGTCTACGTGTGCTCTCTGTGGTACTTTCCACCACTGACAAACCACACAGCACTTCTGGTTCTCCTTGTGTTGACAAACACATTCCTATTGATCACCTGATTGAGTCATACAGCAATGCTGACATCGGGTGGGAGCTCGGTAGGTAGAGGACAGTACCACCAATCACAGCCTAGGTAGCTGTGGCTAGCTTACACTTACCACCAATCATACACTGACGAGGCGCCCTCCTCTCTGTGGCAATGCTTCTTCATCAGAGTGACACCCCTGGGGTGTCTGGGGGAGCGTGTAATAGTTTTTTTCTAACCTGTTCAGATCCTTGTATAGATTGAGGAATCAAACAGGATAAATCTGGCAAATCTGTTTTATCCTGATGAGTTTCCTAACACTGCTGCTTCCTAAAATACCCATAGGCACCGACAGATCTGATACGGCTAGTAGCGGTCGTACTACGACACTATTTCATGCAGCCTCCCGTAATCTACAACACTGAGAACACCTATTGCAGCTCTGTGTCAATACCAGATACCAGACTCTCCTGCTTTAATTTATATTAACATGTATCGTTCTTGTCAACTCATTTTAATGTGATCTATCAATCTATTGACGTAAATACTCAACATCGTGTATCATATTGCCGCAAATTAATCCAATATAAGGCAAATGAATGCAATGATGTAATACCCGCGGGGAAACCACTTCATTCATCTCCGGCTCTGTCTTTTGTACTCTGCCAATATTTATATAAACCAACTCGTGTTTTATAAAACGTCCACATTAAATCATCTGCTAATTCTATTGAGGGGATAAAAACGTCTACAAGGCCTGTATGCTTCCTTTTACGATGACCAGCTGTATGTGTGAAGATGAGGATAAAAACAGGATTTACTCTGGGAAATACCGAGTTAAATATGTCCTCCTGAATAAACAAACTTGATTGGTGTAATGGGAATATTACCAGACCAGGACTTCAGCAGATAGCATAAAAACATATACATATATTGAATACCAATATACATTTACAGTTATAGTATAGAAAGTATGTGTACTCCATTTATGACGTCACAAATAAATTCAAATCGCCTGAAGAGCCCCAAGATGGGTGAAAGTGCTAGCGAATTGTAGTCTTCGTGTTTTATTTGATATACATACTCTTACCGTCACATGGACATTTAAAATCTTTACCGCTATTAAATACCATTTATGCTTCTTGAAAACAACAGGATACCAATAACTATTTCACTTAAGGATCCCTTTCCCACTGCACTGTGTTTTTTTCTATCTACAGTAAACTCCCCTTCACTTCTGTTTGGATATAACTGTAGCAAAGCTGGTTAAGGATATTTCGTTGATCTTAGGTTGCTCAGTCGGTTAGAGCGATAGTATAACAATCTGAAGTCTAGGGGATAAATCCCCGACTAGTCCTGCTCAACTTTTACACCGAGAACTTTCCTCTTTATCATTTTACATCAAAGTCCAGGAAAGTATGGTTTTCTTAACAGAAATTATTTTTCAAAGCTAGTCATGCTGGAAATAAACGGAGATCCTTAAAAAATGTAATACAGCCATACCTGTAAGGTGAAACCACTCTCAGGAAGTCCAAAAACTGTGTCCTTTATGCAGATGGTCTCTTCATACAGGTTAGTTCACAATAATATCACTATATATGGGGAATATTAAAAAGTGGTCTCTTAACACAAGTGGTCTCTGTTAATATCTCACCTGCCACTCAGGTAAAAAGGGTCAGGAAAAACATCCATCAAATAATTAAGTAAAATGGTAAAATGGTGGTCCCCTGCCTACTGATCATATGAGTTAAGGGGAATGGAGATGAGATAGAGGGAGGGAGGGCAGGAGGAAGGGTAGAGAATGATGGAAGAGAAGAAGGAAAGAGAAAAGGAAAGAGATAGAAGGAAACAAATGGTTGGAGGTTATAAACATGGTTGCATAACTAAGACAATGGAGATAGAGGGAGGGAGGGTAGAGAATGATGGAAGAGAAGAAGGAAGGAAAGAAGGAAAGAGAGAGAAGGAAACAAATGGTTAGAGGTTATAAACATGGTTGTATAACAAAGACAATGGAGATAGAAGGAGGGAGGGTAGAGAATGATGGAAGAGAAGAAGGAAAGAAAGAAGGAAAGAGAGAGAAGGAAATGGATGGTTGGAGGTTATAAACCTGGTTGTATAACTAAGACAACGGAGCTATGGTCTAGTCCTAGTGTTACCCTGTGGCTGTCCATTAAACTTTTCTGTGTTGACAGGTTTGGTGGTGTAAGTGTGAAAGTCATCTGTTCAGATTAGCTATCGATGATCCTCAGAAATAACTCTTACTTCTTAAAAGGGCCCTTGGGTATTTGTGTGTTGACAGTAAATTAATCATTTCACATCCGTCAAGAGACAGAATAAGAGGTCAGATTTCAGATGATGAAATTCCATCTTCAATTTTATCTTTATTATTTACATATATATAAAAAATAAAAATAAATTGAAAGACACACAATTTGGTACAATTTGTCTTTCTGTACGTAAGATCAATACATGAGAGGGAGATTATTTAGAGATCAATTCAGTATTAGGGGAGACGGAGAAGTCAGAGAGAGATTTAGGAGGAATATGAGAGGGCCATAGTAATAGCCCCTTAATTACCAGAGACTTGCAAACACTTTAAACCTCTAACCCCTTAGCCTCTCTAGCCCCTTTTTATAACTCCCTTTATATAATAATGATATCAGCATAATTAACATGTACGGTAAAATATTACTGCAGCCATGTTTATCAAATTTTACCTCTACATAGTAAAGGGCCATTGATTGTACTGAAGACTATTCAGAAGTATACTTTACGAAGATCTACGTAGTGGCAAAGATTGTTCCAATGATCATTCTTTTTAAGGACAAATAAAATATTGCTTTATAGAGCAAGACAAATTTGTGAATTACTGAGCATGGTGGTACAGTTATCTGGGGATGTCTGGTGTCAAGTCTTCACCAACACAAACCATTGACTTAGTGCTCAATACACACATTAATCTTAACAGAGTTTAACCGACTGATGACATCCAGGAGTTCAAATCTTGAAGAAAAGATAGGGGTTAGATTTTGATGTTATTACAATGCTGTGGTTATCATGGGATTTGAGATTAATACCCTTCATAAGACTGTAGAAACAATGAAATTTGAGATTAAGGTAACTGTTACCAATGCATTTGTTATAATCACAAAGAAGAAAAGTTCCAATAATGTTTTTTGGTGTGGTTTTTTTAACTTGGACGGGAGTACTCTCCCTTCTATATAGAAGATGAAGCATTCTGTCTTAAAGAAACGGCCCCTTTCAAATTTTTCATATGCTTTGTGGCCCATAAATTGGACACTTGATCATTTTGTGGCCATTTTTATATAAAATTCCTGTATTGCAACATTGGTAAAATGTAGGCTTTGAAATAGAAACGTCATGAGCAGTTTTTTGGGGTTTTTTTTCTCTCTTTTATCAAAATTTTTAAATTTCAAACAACTACAATTCTGTAAAATGCATGATAATAGGAGGTTTTAAGGAAATATTTCTTTGAAAAGAACTAAAATATTTAACAATAATGACAATGGTATAAATAAAGTTGAACTTGCTGGTACCCTTTACCTATAAACTCATTCACAATGCTGTTGTCATGAGGATTGGAGATTCATGTTATTCACAAGGATTTAGTAACAGATGGATTCCAGCTTAACCCATTCACCCCTGAAGTCACATTTGAACCTTACCAAATCAAAGACATGGCAAGTCCAGTTTAAATATGTAGGGGTGAATAAGATAACTGATTCACGAGACTGTTTTTACATACAGATTCAAAATTAACTGTTATTTACAAGACTGCAGTGTAGTTAGCACCATTCCTAAGTCTTCAATAACAGAGGAATTCTAGATTGTCATCCACAAGATGATAGTAACAGTGAGAAAGGAGTTTAGCCATTTGTAAGACTGTAAGAACATCCTGATTCCAAATTAGAGTCATTCACAAGATTGTAGCAACATTAAGTTTGGAGATACATCATGTCATTAACAATAACACAGTAACATGGGTATTTCAGATTAACATCACAAACATGTGTACATACTAGAAGTAGATGGTAAAACTCACAATACCTTTCGACTCCCTGTTACAGCTGTCTACAATGATACAATCAGAAAGGAACGTTCTAGAGTGATGACAGTATTTTTTCCGACATATAGGAATTGTGACCTTGACAATTAAATGAACACCCTGAAAAAACCCGGATTTGCAATATCCAAGTACATGATACAGTGAAAATGTCATCTTTCTAATGATTGACAAATTAATATACTACATGTATCGGGTATTAAAGATTCCATGAAATTTTCCCAAACGTTTTCTATGGGCAATTCAATTCAATATATCAAATCCTTTTAAACTGATTTCTACTAATGTTTGAATTGTATTACAATAGGTCCTTATATGTTTAGATTTAGAAATATTGAATATGTCATGTTGAGATGCAAAAGTAATATGGTTTTAGTTAAAAGTACACATGACTATTTCTGCATGACCTACGACCTTACAGGTGACCTTTGATCTACATAAAAGTTTAAACTCTAACAAATTGTAAGTTACTGTGTAGAAAAACTGTGTGAGAATATACATAAAAGAAAAGAACAAGAAGTAAAAATAACAGTTTTTCTTGTGGTTCCATAATCAAGTTTGCAAAGAAATTTCTAATCTGAGACACTGTCCCATGAAATGTGTATTAGAGCAGTGACTGACAGCAGTAAAGTGGCAGGTTAATGGGTGACAGGTCACCTCATCGGCCCCGTACAGCATCTGATTGGACAAGGGGCCCAGCTGACTCATCCCCCTCTGGTGCCCTCCGAGGACAAGTGTCGTCTGCCTGCGTGTGGCAAAACACTCAGATTTTCACTCCCAACATGCACATTATCTATTTATTGAGTTATGTACATACGTTTCCTATATCCATGGAAACTGGCCATAGAAACAAAGACCATTGTGGCTAGTCCAATGTTTTACATGAATACAGATTAGTACAGTGGACAGCAGGCATGTAACTAGGTATTTTGTATTGATTTATGATTGTGGTAACAATACCCTTCCCTTAATTATTAATGAATCGCAAATATTCATCAGCTCAGCCACAATTGTCATCCATCTTCGACCACTAGTGACACAACGCGTACGGATAAAAACTATCAAATTCATTTCCGCAGCAAAAGGAATACATCTGTATTACCCTTAGTTGTCTCTTCATCACAGTTGCCTTCAAAGCTAAAGGTATGCAAATGGATGGCCGAGTAATTTCCGTTACTTTTGTTTTCATTTTGTAACAAATTACTTTGAGAAATGACAGGTAATCATACCACCAAAATATTGATTTATCTCTAAACCAGAAAGAGCAACAGACGGCAACATCCTGCTACATTTGGGCAAGGTGATGATGATGGAGTAGCAAAAACGTCTCATGAACTATCAACAATAGAAACACTGTACGGCTGACAAATGTCAACATGTCCTCTACAAAATGGTTACATTGCCAACTTTAAAATGAACTGGTCAAGATCGATTGGGCTTTGAAAATAAGTGGCCCAAATGATCTTAGATACTCTATTACTGCACAAAATTACCTCATCCCCTCTGCTATTACACACTTTTCGAATCCCTAGAAATCTCCTTCAATATCAACTAGAACTGCAAGCCATAGGCTTTCCGGTCACACACGAAAAATCAGAAAAGGGAAATAACTCTTATGAAATAGCTAAAGTACAATATAAATCTTAACTGTGCTACTACCTTTAATACCAAACATGTGTACCAAGTTTCATAAATATCGACGAAGAAAATAAGTAACAATACTTTTGACAAAATTTTAAAACAAGACAGCTAGCTGAAAAGGTCATATGATCCCTATTGAAATATGCATAATTAACAAGAGGCCCAGAGGGCCTGTATCACTCACCTGTTTCTTTTGTTACATGCAACTGACATATAGGTAACTTAAGACCAAATTTGGTAACTAGAACACAAGACATTTTAACATCTCTTAAACGGTTCTGAAGATATTTTTTTTAAGCTTTTAACTCATATTGACCTTTGACTCCCGACTTGCACTTAAAGTTGACCTCATTACTGTAATAAAGAAAATAATTCCCACAGCTGGTCTACATAACATACCCAAGTATCATGACACTAGTCCAAATGGTTCTTAGGATATTGTGGTTTGAAGTTTTTAACATATTTAACCCCAGTGACCTTGAAAGTAGGTCAAGGTCATTTTAATGAGGAATCTTTATAGCACTTCATCTTAGGTACCAACTGGCCAAATATCATGACCCTGGCCCTAATGGAACTTGAGAAGAAGATTGTTAAAGATTTTAACCAAAGTTGACATTTCAACCCCCGACTAGCATTTAAATTTGACCTCATAACTGTAACCGAGAAAAATATTTGCACTGCTGGTCTACATAACATACCCAAGTATCATGACTCTAGTTCAAATGGTTCTTAGGATATTGTTGTTTGAATTTTTTTACATATTTGACCGCTGTGACCTTGAAAGTAGGTCAAGGTCATTTTAATGAGGAAACTTTATAGCACTCCATCCCAGGTACCTACTGGCCAAATATCATGACCCTAGGTCCTACAGTTTTTCAGAAGAAGTCATTCAAAAGAAAAAGGTGGCGGACGGACGGCGGACGACGGATGACGGACGACGGATGACGGACGACGGACGACGGATGCCGCAGTACGGCATAAGCTCACATGGCCCTTTGGACTAGGTGAGCTAAAAGTAAATTAAAAGCGCACACAACTACCCAGGGTATTGATCATTTGTACAAAGTTTCATAAATATCACTGAAAAGGTAAGTAGGAGTACCAGTACTTTGGACAAAATTCAAAATTCATAAATGAAAGATCAGAAAAAGTACATAACTCATTTCAAATAAGTGAAAATACTATGTTAATCATGGACGGAAATAAGGACCTGATTTCAGCATTTCAGCATGTGAATGACTTCAGGTTGCAGATGAGGCTTGACTAATTGTGCTGGTGTATACATTTTTGCCAATAAAGTTTTTCGGAAACTGAAAATGACTGAAGTTGGGCGAGAAGTGGACAAAATATAATACAGCAAACAGAAATGCTCACTTCAATCTTTGACACTGATAAACCAAGAACGGGACAAAATGTAGCATTGACGGACTAACAAATACACAAATCGCATCAATGTTTCAATTGATCTTCAAAAAGAGCTTTAGTTATAGTAAGATGTTTGTGTGATGTTGGCTTGTTCTATCAAATCTGCAGCTGACAGAATTTTATTATACATCGGCAAAATTGTGTCATTCAGATTGAATTATCTCTTGAAAATTTCAAAGATTTTATTTATTCTATTACAAGTCATCGAAATAGCGTCCGATATAAAAAAAAAAATCGCTTTATACACGACAGGAAGCAAAATCATGTGGAAATTTAATGAACAAGTGAAATCCTGACCCACTGAAAACATTAGCATAAGAATATTGTGTGTTTAGTATCTAATCACGAGCGTGGCTTGATACGGCTGTTTTAGAATGTCGTGAGTCACTAGAACTACATGATTACTGGAAATGTAAAAGTGATACAGCTGTCACTCAGACAATGGTGGCCATCCGCAGCTTGATGCACCATAATTGTATGATTATAGCAACAATTCTAGCTCAGGCCTACCAAATACACAACCAGGCCTCCAACCACAGCCATCAATTGGAATGAACAAGATAGCATTACTAAGAATCAGCACAGAGATAAAAACGAATCTCATCTGTATTTCCTCCGAGCTTTATTTTCTTTTTGTAAAATCTCATTTCATTTTAACGGTAAATTTAAAATCTGTCCATACACTTTAAAAAGCTATCAATTTTGATGGTGAATCTGTATCTTTCCTCCCTGTGTTACTTACAGCTGATAAAAGACAGAGATACAAAAACAAGGATATCTATTGGTGCACAGGATTCTGCTCGGACAAATCCTGTCCAATGGGAGCAATATAAAGATTTAAAAAGTTGTTAGACAAACCACATGTCAGAAGTACTGAGAACAAACTTCCATGATTCATCAACCTGAGTTTTTATCTCCCACCCTTACAGGTCTGGCAAAAGCTTATTGATCTGGCAGTCACTGACACAAAACAATACCTAGCATTCCTCACCTGTAAGTGTTACACAGAAAATTTGATACTTTCCTACCTATGATCAGCACACTAAACAATGCTGTGCACTCTCCCAACTGTAACAATGGCTGAAATCACATGTAACTAGCACAGAGAACAATGGCTGACAATCTCCCCCCTGTAACTAACCCACAGACCAAGGGCTGACACTCTCCCCCCTGTAACTAACACACAGAACAATGGCCGACACTCTCCCCCCTGTAACTAACGCTCAGAACAATGGCTGACAATTTCTCACCTGTAACTTCCATAGAACAATGACTGACAATCTCTCACCTGTAACTAGCACACAGAACAATGGCTGACAATTTCTCACCTGTAACTTCCATAGAACAATGGCTGACTATCTCTCACCTGTAACTTCCATAGAACAATGACTGACAATCTCTCACCTGTAACTTCCACAGAACAATGGCTGACAATCTCCCCCCTGTAACTAACACACAGAACAATGGCTTACACTCTCCCCCCTGTAACTAACACTCAGAACAATGGCTGACAATCTCCCCCCTGTAACTAACACACAGAACAATAGCTGACAATCTCTCCCCTGTAACTAGCACACAGAACAATGGCTGACAATTTCTCACCTGTAACTTCCANACACAGAAAACAATGGCTGACAATCTCTCCCCTGTAACTAGCACAGAGAACAATGGCTGACAATCTCCCCCCTGTAACTAACACACAGAACAATGGCTGACAATCTCCCTCCTGTAACTAACACACAGAACAATAGCTGACAATATCCCCCCTGTAACTAACACACAGAACAATAGCTGACAATCTCTCCCCTGTAACTAACACAGAACAATGGGTGACAATCTCTCATCTGTAACTACCACAGAAGAATGGCTGACTATCTCTCACATGTAACTTACACACAGAACAATGGCTGACAATCTGGCAGTCACTGACACAGGACAATACCTAGCATTCCTCACCTGTAAGTGTTACACAGAAAATCTGATACTTTCCTACCTATGATCAGCACACTAAACAATGCTGTGCACTCTCCCAACTGTAACAATGGCTGAAATCACATGTAACTAACACAGAAAACAATGGCTGACAATCTCTCCCCTGTAACTAGCACAGAGAACAATGGCTGACAATCTCCCCCCTGTAACTAACGCACAGAACAATGGCTGACAATCTCCCCCCTGTAACTAACACACAGAACAATGGCTGACAATCTCCCCCCTATAACTACCACAGAACAATGGCGGACAATCTCCCCCCTATAACTACCACAGAACAATGGCTGACAATCCCCCCCTATAACTACCACAGAACAATGACTGACAATCTCCCCCCTATAACTACCACAGAACAATGGCTGGCAATCTCTCTAACAATCCCCCCCTGTAACTAACACACTGACTATCTCTCACATGAAACTTACACACAGAACAATGGCTGACAATCTCCCTCCTGTAACTAACACACAGAACAATAGCTGACAATCTCCCCCCTGTAACTAACACACAGAACAATGGCTGAACATTTCTCACCTGTAACTACCACAGAACAATGGCTGACAATCTCTCACCTGAATAACACACAGAACAATAGCTGACAATCTCTCCCCTGTAACTAACACACAGAACAATGGCTGAACATTTCTCACCTGTAACTACCACAGAACAATGGGTGACAATCTCTCGATTGTAAATACCACAGAACAATGGCTGACTATCTCTCACATGAAACTTACACACAGAACAATGGCTGACAATCTCTCACCTGAATAACACACAGAACAATGGCTGACAATCTGTAACAAACACAGGACAATTGCTGACAATCTCTCACCTGCTACTAACACAGAACACCTGTAACTAACACACAGAACAATGGCTGACACTTTCTCACCTGTAACTACCACAGAACAATGGCTGACAATCTCTCCCCTGTAACTACCACAGAACAATGGCTGACTATCTCTCACATGTAACTTACACACAGAACAAAGGCTGGCAATCTCTCACATGTAACTCACACACAGAACAATGGCTGGCAATCTCTCACATGTAACTTACACACAGAACAATGGCTGGCAATCTCTCACATGTAACTTACACACAGAACAATGGCTGACAATCTGTAACAAACACAGGACAATGGCTGACAATCCCTCACCTGTTACTTTCAACGGAACAATAGCTGACAATCTGTAACAAACACACAGAACAATGGCTGACACTCTCTCACCTGTTACTAACACAGAACACCTGTAACTTACACACAGACCAATGGCTGACAATCTCTCATATGTAACTTTCACACAGAACAATGGCTGGCAATCTGTAACAAACACAGGACAATGGCTGACAATCTCTCACCTGTTACTTTCAACAGAACAATAGCTGACAATCTCTCACATGTAACTTTCACACAGAACAATGGCTGACAATCTGTAACAAACACAGAGCAATGGCTGACTATCTCTCACCTGTAACTACCACAGAACAATGGCTGACAATCTTTAACAAACACAGAACAATGGCTGACAATCTCTCACCTGTTACTTTCAACAGAACAATAGCTGACAATCTCTCACATGTAACTTTCACACAGAACAATGGCTGACAATCTGTAACAAACACAGAACAATGGCTGACTATCTCTCACCTGTAACTACCATAGAACAATGGCTGACTATCTCTCACCTGTAACTACCACATAACAATGGCTGACTATCTATCACCTGTAACTAACACACAGATCAAAATCCACAACTCTTTTACTTAAATTGATGTTACAATGGTTATGACAGTGGATGTGAGAGTAGATGTTTCAGTACATTTGGCAGTAGCTGGAAAAGTAAATATGATTGTGGCTGTATAACAAACCTGATCAGCAGTAAACTTTGGATAGGAGAAAGGCAATTGTTATTAGGAATGGATTACTTTAAAAATCATTTTGGATTTTTTTCAGATAAAAATTGAGAACAGTACGTGTTGACCCTGTCAGTTTTGTGACAGACGGGAAAACTTCTGACGGGGTGGATGACGGGCAGATCGCTGGAGGTACAAAGAATTGACATTTTTGGACCGACGTTATTGGATTTCCCTGCTCTCCATCGAAAGTAATAAACTAAGAATTAATCAGCACTATGGTAATGCTCAGAGCTGTATGGATACACAAGGTGAGGGAGGAAGCAATCTAAATGCAATTTCTGGTCCTGCAGATTGACATAACAGGGGGAGGGCTGATGTAATATAAATTCAATTGCTGCTGTCAAGAGTGTGACATTGCTGTCACTTTGCTGGTCTTACTCCCTACAACAGGTTGTCATACCATGGTACCAGAAATCACACAGCAGACCCCAGTGTCATTTCCATGGCAACAGCTGTCCTTCATTCATGACAACAGCCTCAAATATTCTACACAAGCGATTCAAGTTTAAACCTAAAGGAGATTCTCAAGAGTAAGGAAATGTTGTATATTTTAAACGTAAATCTGAATCCATGTCAACAGATCCCAACTCTGTTCTTGTGCAAGCTATCAAATCTATGGATATTGTAACAGAGTTCAGCAATTTGTCAGCACACGGTTGTACTGATGGGAACATCTGGGGTTAAGTTTGTCAGCACACGGTTATACTGATGGGTACATCTGGGGTTAAGTTTGTCAGCACACGGTTATACTGATGGGTACATCTGGGGTTAAGTTTGTCAGCACACAGCTATACTGATGGGAACATCTCGGGTTAAGTTTGTCAGCACACAAATAGGAGTATCAAGGTGAAGTAAAAACCTCACTAAGGTGTCAGGCTGTACTTACTGCATTGGTGACGTCGGCGGCCAGGCGTGCAGCATACCTGGCAATGAGGCGGTGCTCATCATCTATTCTCGTCGTGTCCACGTTGGCTTTACTGGGGCTGCAACACAAATCACACTCAAGTAAACATCACCATACTCCACCTGTACACCTGTACATATGTCCAATCCATTCAAGGATTTTAACTAAATTTTAAGATAATTATCTTCAACACCTATCCATGTACACTTCCTGTTGCACTGATTAAATAATATAGATATTGCACTGGAGAATAATGTTTTTAAGTATAAGTTAGATGCTAAACATTTTCTATATTTGTAATACAAGGGAGTGAACTCCAACATGTCTATCCATTTCTAAAAGTGAATTTCCAGACTGTATCGGGATGGTCATAACACTGATTTAAACCAACCTGAACATCAAAATGACAAGAATTCTATATATCAAAATTTGGTTTGAATATCTCAGTTGGATTGAATTCTGCATTTAGAAGCTAATCCATATCAACATGTGGTTCTAGGGACTAAATCTTGCAATACTGTATTAATTTTTACCGAGTTTGTTACCGAATTGTCATTTAAACACTTTGACCCTGCCCATCGAAACATTGGAGTGTTAAATGCTTCTTTGCCAAACATTTCAACCTATACTTAACCTATGACTATCAGGCATTGCGATCATGAGGCTATGGATATCATATTGTCTGGGATCTGGAAGTAATGAACACCAGGCTCAGGCGTCATAAAGCTATGAACAATTATTGAGGCCCAGGCACCATTGAGTTATCTATGAACACCAGGCCCTAGAAGCATGATGCGATGGGCACCAGGCCTTGGAATCATGATGCTATGAACACCAGGCCCTGGTATCATGATGCTATGAACACCCGAGGCCCTGATATCGTGATACTATGAACACCTGAAGATCTGGAATCATCAGGCTATGAACACCTGAAGCATTGTAGTATTTAAGGCTATGAATATCTCAGGCCATGGTATCATGAAGCTATGCACACCACACACATGGAGCAGGAGGCTATGAACACCTGAGGCCCTGGTTTTATAAAGCTATGAACACATGAAGTCCTGATATCATGAGTCTATGAATGCCTTAGGCCCTGATATCATAAAGCTATGAACACCTAAGGCCCAGTGATCATGAAGCTATTATCATAAAAAAAGGCCCTGGTATTATGAGGCTATGAACACCTTGGCCTGGTATCATGAACTTATGAACACCAGGCCCTTTTCATCATATGACTATGAACACCTGGAGCCCTGGGATTATGAAGCTATGACATCAGGTCAAGTCCACATTTGGTCAAATAATGCAAAATGTTCAATACGTCAAACTATAGTATATCACATTGTGATAAGGTGCTTTAAATAGTTAACCTTACCAAACACTGTCAGCTGTACAACCTTACCACACATGGCCGGCTACTGTAGCACAATGTAATCAAACTGGTACCAGCAGACAGCACAGAAATCAACACCAGTTGTAGCCTTATGAGTCATGATGTACAGAATGTTTAGCATAATGTTTCATACTTAATTACAAAGCCCAGAAATAGCATTTGCAGAAGACACACAATCTTTCAGAAGAAACTTCCTGAACTAGACATATAACTCAATCAAATTGCTACTCCAGGCTGCCCTACATATATACTGGTAAATATATGTAAAATGTATTAGCATATCCATACCCTTTAGCTAGAAAGTCAGTATAGGTTTACACCTAAACAGACTTGACCTTTTACCTGTCTGTATTACAGCCTATTCGTTGACCAGAAGCAAAAGTGGATAATTCTGACAGCCACTGAAGCATTAGTCGTACGTCAGCCAGCGTGCTCCCACAGACTCACTAGTAACACTGGGCATTGGTAAGACAAGAGCAATCACAGCTACGAGACCGGAGCAACGGTAATTTGGAAGAGTGTACCGTGTGTGGGCATGTGAATCATCCTTACCTGCGAGGACTGATGCCGCTGTCGACAGAGGACACCTCCGATGACTGGGTCAATGGCAGCTCCTGGTGGAACCCATTCCTCGGAGGCTGAGGCGTAGGAGGTCTGTAACACACAAATCACCACTTGTTAACAGGAAGCTTTGGAATTTCAATATAAATGTGAGACCATGTCTTTAATACATTACATGTTAAAGTGTACAACAAATATCCAACTTTTTCAATCTCTTACATTATTATCAGATTTTCGGCCAGAGTTCCCCAGTAGAAAGCTATGTCCTGTTGCTACAGAGCTAGAGGAGATGGTTATCTGAGCAACCTCCAGGAAAGTGCAAGTAAACCCAAGCAATCTGATTTAATATCAATCTTGCTAAAGCAAAATAAATCAATTGATTGAAAGTGCTGCAAAAAGGTTTGAAGGCATACAGAGGCACCTGCTCTTCCTTGCCTAAATATTTTTTTAACAATGACGTGAGCGATCAATGATTGAGTAGCGGAAACTTGCATGAGGATCTGATCAATGACAAAAGGTCATGTGGTGTGTCACAATGGTAAGACTGAGTCTCAAACACCGCAACTTATAATAACGTTCTCATGATGACACTTCATTTAACCACTGACGATTTCTTCTACTAGCAAACAGTCAACCTTATAATGGCTATCATGACCGTAATTGACACAACAATGAACAATGGCGATATTCGTTTTATATGCATTCAAAGAAAAGAAAACTTTAAGGAGTGTATCCAGTACAGGATGCTTATTTTAAATTAAGGGAGAAGGTGATGAACTTGTGTTCAAGTCAGTCTAACCAAACAGGGAAGATAATAAATTGTACCAGTAATACTAGGTAACGCACCATGAGTGGTGATCATCATCACGTTTACACAAAGGACCAGATCAATTGTCTTCTAAAGTTTCTTTGGAGCCTCAAAGTAAATTAGTTTTCTGTGCTGAAGGATTAATTCTGAAAATGCTTATGCCAATATAGCAGATAAATTTATCCAAGGCTTAATTTTTGTAACCAAAAAACTCTGAGCAGTTCTGGTAATAAATCACTGCTGACAAATTAACAGGCAAGGTGGCCCGTAATGTAAAGAGCGTGCATCAAACATAGTGTAATGGTCGCCTTCTAACTTCACGTTAGAGGGGTTTACCCTTTAGCTCAGTGGTAGAGTGTCCAACTAGAAAATCTGGGGTCTGGGTTCAATCCCCGGTGAATTTTTCAACCTCTCCCGTCAATGTAATGGAGAAGCCCTAACAGGGAGCTTATGAACCTGGGTTATATTTGTGTTCAAAGAAAAAGTCTTAATTGGAAAAAGAGATAGTAGTGTAAAGGATGTGCATTGTACATATCTATAGTGTTAAAGTTGTCGTACTAGCTTCTGATAGACGAAATGTCTCTTAAGCTCAGCAGGAGAGCATCTGACTAGAGAGATTCAAGATATCACAAGGGAAAGAATATACAATGCAGTGTTTAAGAGGTGTTTGAGGTTTCAGATTAAGCAATCAGAGACCATGATGGTCGTTTTGGATTTTCCTAGTTGCTGCCATTCAGAAAATTTATAGCTAATACAATTAGGGAGTAAAGTAATCATGACTGTATTCCTTAAATATTTCTTTTGCTATCTTAGCTGTACATGAAATTTATCTTTTTCAGATAATCTGAGGCTGCGTAGGCCATCTCAAATTTCTTCTAGACCCAAAGAACTAAATAACAACACTTGATAAAGGCAATGACTGGATTGGTTTGGTAGAAATTGAAAAGAATTTGAAAATATTTCAGCCAATTATAGGACAGGTAGCTATATAGCCATCCTTGATGGTGAAATAACCAAACATATACCAAGAGCTAGCAAAAGCCAATACAGAAACATTTGTTTAAGTTTCGGCCGTATAGAGTCTGAGTAGTCAATAACGTCTGAGCCAATGAGAAATCAAGTCAGCCATCTTGGATTTCAAATCAGCCCTAAAGTAACAATTATAAAATAATTAGTTGTAGAAAGTTTGATTAGTATTCCCCTGCTGCATGGTACTGGAGAAGTAAACAAATGTTTCTATAATTCTGCCTTCTTTTTTCTCCAATCGGATCCCATCCCACTGCTCTCAAAGGAAGTCTGACACCCCTTTCAAATGACCTCAACCCAGAGAGGGATCTCTATATCAACTGAGTTTAATCAATTCATCTGTAATTATTAAGAAGTTGTATTTTGAATATTTACATATATTTCCCCTTTTGGGCAATGACCTTCTGTCTCCATAAGGCCATGGCTTTCATTTATAAAACCTCCAATTCCCTTGTCCCATTTTTAATTTTGGACCCTACCTCCATGACCCCAGAGGTACCATACCTTTAAGTTCATCACACAACATTTTATTCCCTTGGAACAGGTATGCTTCAAGTTAAGTTGAATTTGGTTTAAATTCCTTCATTTATACTAAATGAGTAGTGTTATTAAAAAGAAATCAATATTTATCCAAATGGGCCCCACCTTTCTGCAATCAAGGATTCACACTTTTCAATTCCAGGGAATAAAGCTAGCTCCATATCTAATTTAGACGACATTCCTTCAGCCTTTTTAAATTAAGTCTTTTAAAGGAAATTTGACGATGGACAATTCCCAACAACATAAGCAGGGCTAGGAGAGTTAAAAATTCCTGATTCTGCAAGAATTCCAATATAAGTCACCTCATACAATCATACAGTGGATTCCATTTGCACAACTCATTAATGTGTCTACAAAGACAAGAGGCAAGGAATGGTGCAAGCCTCCTTAATACATCTATAATAGGAAAAAGGCAAAGAATGGTGCAAGCCTCCTTAATACATCTATGATGGCCACAGGAAAGTTATAGGTTAGCCGAGACAAAGGAAACCATGAAAAATTTATCCCTCATTAAAATGATTGAAAGACCTGCAGTATCAATGTTTCCTGTAATAAATGAGCTATCAGGTCTAACAGCACCAAATGTGGACGCAAAACTCTGAAATCAAAGCACGAACGAGTTCTTAATATCAAACTATTTTTGCATTTTGACATCTTTATTTGGAGATGGTGATCATATCAATTTCCATTATCATGGAGATAATCGCTGGGAGACATGTAAGCTCATACTATTTCCTTGTCAGTATAACATTGTGTGTCTGATAGACAGAATTACGATCGACAGATACAACATGTCACAGAATAACTCCCCCATTCTACATGCAATTCATACACCCTGCTCAATATTCATGGAAAAGAAATCAACCCCTGCACATGCTAAGGAAATTTAGACTTCATGCATATTACGGAAATGACATTTTCAAAACAAAGATGGCAGGGAAAAGATGTTTTGTCTGAAACAGCAGAATCGGAATTGTAGTTACCATGGATACGTGTCAGCCATCATTATCTGGAGCTGTGTATAGTCATGTAACACTTTTTTTGCAAATACCTATCATAACCTACATTTACCGGTATATGTTATATCAGTTCCCTCACTGTTCTCCAAAGGAAAAGAAATAATTCCTTTTCATAATTCTAGGGAAATGTTTATATTTCTTCATTTCTTGTAATTTAAACCATCATCTGACTTCCTAATCTCCTGTAAAAAGTCATTTCCATGGGGCTAAAAACCCAAGAATTAGAAAACAATACAGCATGACATATTATTTCAATATCACAGTTAACTGGGCATCTTTGTCTAAATTAATCCAACTGTTAGACTAAGTACAAGTATCTTTATCAGGCCACTTACAAAATCTTCTAATTAATACCAAGGTCTGCAAGTATATCTAGACACTGCCAATAAAGGAGACACATTTTTCCATAATTTAGTAATTGGTATACATAGGTACATACTATTGATTCATAACTGGTACAAGGCTTTGTACATTATAACGGTTCACTGTTAGTAAGTCTGAACGTAATAGGAAATACCACGCATTCAATCATCTTATGTCTCAGATTGCAAGATTGTATTGGGCGTTGGTGAAATCTGCGACGTCAGATGAAGACATAAGCGTGGTATTATTACGTACCTGATATTGTCCTTTAAATGCATTTTATTGTTTCTACAAAACATTACTCATCATTAACCTATATTTGCATTCAATTTGCTTCACGAAACTTTGAACCAAATAATTGCAGACAGAATAATGTCAACAGGTTATCATAGCATAAAATGAGGCTAGAATGGTTAGAACCCATTCCTTTTACTTTTCTTAGATTTGATTAATGGATAACAGATAGTTCCAGCCAAATAAGGAGTTCTGGCTCTTGGAGGGATACAACATTTTGTATTGGTATTATCATAGTGTGAATTACAACATCTTGTATGATATTGATACAGCCTGTTAGCTCACTAAAGTAAGATATACTAGGTAGGTAATTGAAGATATAAAGACATTCAATAAACATGTTGATATACCCTAATTTACAAATCACATAAACAATACACTGCTGAGTTTACAAAATATCTTGGAAGATTTTTTTCTTAAATGAAATTTCCCAATAAACCATAGGACCTATATCGCTCACCTGGATAATCGAGCGATCATGGGAAAATGTTCTTAATAAAAGTACTTTTACAAATATTTCCATATATTTAGTCTCCTTGGCATTAGAATGTTCCAGACTAAATGAAACTTGATACTTCTCTATCCCAGCATACTACAGGTCAAATATCATGACCCAGGGCCTCCTGGTAATGCGGAAGAAGTATTCACATATTTGACCCCGTGACCGTGAAAGTAGGTCAAGGTAATTTATTTGAGGAAATTTTATAGCACTCTGTCCCAGGTACCGACTGGCCAAATATCATTGATCTAGGCCTCTTGGGTATTGATAAGAAGTTGTTTAAAGGTTTTTACAAATTTGAACCCTGTGACCTTGAAGGTTGGTCAAGGTCATTTATTTGAGGAAACATTATAGCACTTCATGCCAGGTACCTACTGGCCAAGTATCAGTACTCTGGGCCTTCTGGTTATTCTGAAGAAGTTGTTTAAATGTTTTTACATATTTAACCCCTATGACCTTGAAAGTAGGTCAAGGTCATTTATTTGAGGAAAGTTTATAGCACTTCATGCAAGGTACATGTACCTACTGGTCAAGTATTATTACT